AATTACACATGGAAGGACACATGCCACATATGTAGAAGAGGATTGCCTTGTTTGGCATCAATTGGAGGAGAGGCCCTTGTCCCTATGAAAGATCAATGCAAAGGGGAAAGCCAGCATACGGAGTTGGGAATGGGTTGGTGGATGGGGCAGCACCCTCATAGAAGCAAGGGGAGGAGAGATGGGATAGGGTACTACCAAGGAGGGATTCTGGAAAGGGGGAAGGGGATAACATTTAAATGTAAATAAAAAATACAATATGAAAATAAATAAATGAAAGTTGTGTAAATAAAACTTACTAACCAAGAACATTAAAAAAGTACCTTTTCCTAATGGTTAAGCAGATAGCTCTGTGGGAAACAGCATTCTAATACAAGCATGAAGAAGACCTTCGTTATAACCTATAAAAGTCATACTAAAACAGGGTATGGCCTCATGGGCCTGTAATCCCAAAGTTTGTTGGCAAAGACAAGTGACCAAGTAATTTCTAGATAGTCATTTGAGCTTCAACTTCATGGGGGAACCCTAGTCTCCATGGAACTGATAAAAAAAATATACCTTGAATGGTCCTCTGGCCTATATGTTTTCATACATCTTGGTATAAAACACACACATACACAAACAGGCATATTTATACAAACACAATGCATATATGCATAACAATAACTACAATATACATCACATACATATTTACACTCCACAAATATGTATACAGATAACATACACACAAAATACATAGATGTACATATTTATAGCTATATATGGAAGCTTTAGTTTAATCCTAATCCCTAAAAACATATAAACATATGTTAATATAACACACACATGTTTATAAGTATATGAAATTATGATTATAATTATTATGTAATTAAATACATAGTGCATAATCTCAAATATGATTTAATTATAGTTATACCAAAAGTTGTGAGTTATGGCCTAAAAATTTATGAAGAAATACAGCATTCTATATAATATCTACATGGGGAAAATATCTAATGTCAGCAAAGAGCTAGTTCTGATAATATTGGCAAGGGAACACAGAAAATCTCAGATCCAGGGGCCTCATGAATGACAGCCACAAAATAAGAAGTGTGGTGAGAAAAGGAACTGTAAGTTTTACTCTAGTTTACTTGGCTTCAACCCTAAACAGGCTACATAAGATGAAAATTGAACAAATACTTATCGCTCAGTTTCCCTCTGTCCTTTCTACATAGCCCTTTAGAAATTATTGATCCACTCTGCCAATCCACAGAATATAGTCACTCTTCCCAGAACCACATAGAATATATTTTTCCACTATTATGAAGGATAGGAATTCAAAGTTAAAAGCATGAGACAACTTTTCATTGACTGTCTGCTTCATTATTAGAAGATAGTCTTCTTCATCCATCCATATGAAGTAAATGGATGAAAGAAGTGATCAAATTTCAGAAAGACCTGAGACTAGGTATGAGCAGTTAAATATAACCATACAAACAGACCTACTGATGTCCAGAAAAAAAATCTTCTGTTGTAACGGTATCAAATAACAAGGTACAGTTCTAACATGGAAGCTGTGAGTGAGAGCTTTTGCTCAGTGAATGACAGTCATTATATTCAGTTTGAAATCAATGGTGATGGAAAATTGTTCTACAGTATGTTTTATGTCCTCTACACAGGATCAGTCCCAACAACTACCAATTTGTGATAGCTTTGAAATTTGCCATTGAGGAGATAAATAAAAATGCCCTCATTTTACCTAACATGTCTCTGGGATACAGTATTTACAATGCTGGGCCAAGTGAAGTGGAGACAATGAAAAGTTTCCTAGTTTGGCTCACAGGGAAGTTCAAACCTTTGCCAAACTACAACTGTAAAAGTGAGGAAAAATCTGTGGCTATAATCACAGGAACAACATGGGAAATTTCCAACATAATTGGGACATTGCTGGTACTATATAAACATCCACAGGTGAGATTATATACACAGGAATAATTACAGCATACTCCATTGATGACAACCTTTGAATACCAAGAGAAAACATAAGTGGAGAAGACTTTGCTTGTGTATGATTCAAAATATAATATTTTGGGCTTGATTATGGTCCAGGAGTCAATAATGCATTCTGTGAAATCAAGAAGATAGGAATTTAGATTTCAGCACCACTTATGTCCACATAATAGCATAACATACAGAATAGAGTAAGAAACCCAGGGTTGGAGAGAGATTCTGCCTTAAGAATGAGTAAGTGGAGGAAAGCAAAGGATACTCAATACACACTTCTTCCCTTCACACACTTGTATGCACATTCATGCAAACAACCAAAAAACTAAAAAATATTATAAAGTACATGAGATATATGCTCAGAGATTGTTGGTTTATCTACATTTTTTTGTTTGACAAATGTAAAAATTGCAAGATAAACTCACAAGTATTTATGATATGTGTGAATATTTCAAATAATTTTCTAAACTGGTCTTCAATATTACAGTTTACTCTAAATACTAATTTGAGTTTCTATGAATTTATGTTACTGTTTTACACTAATTGATTTTATAATTTCTGAAACTCTTCTTCCATTTTAATCCATGTTCTCTTTTTTTCAGCTCACCTTTGGACATTTTGAACCAAGTATGAACGATCCTGAGAAGTTCCCATCTCTGTATCAGATGGCCTCCAAGGACTATTCTCTGGCCTTAGGCATGGTCTCATTAATTACCTATTTCAGGTGGAATTGGGTTGGATTGGCAATCTCAGATGATGAGAAAGGTGTTCACTTTGTCTCAGATTTGATACCAATGATGGAAAGAAATAAAGTTTGTGTAGCTTTTATGGAAATGATCCCAGCTGACCATAAATTCACTATTATAGAATCTAATGTCTATTATAGCCCAATTGCGAGGAACTCAGTAAAAGTGGTTATCATTTATGGTAACACTGACTATTCTTTAGGTGTACTCTTTAGAAGATGGGAACATATATTTCCATGGAGAGTCTGGGTCACTACTTCAAAATGGGAAGTCATGAGTGCTAAGAGACATTTCATTCTTGACTCATTCCATGGCACTCTCATATTTTCACAACACCATGGAGAGATTTCTACTTTTAAAGAGTTTGTAAAGACAGTGAGTCCTTCTAAATACCCAGATGACATTTTTCTTGCAAGATTGTGGGAGATTTACTTTGATTGTGCAATATTTAATACTACCTGTAAATCTTTAAAACATTGTTCCTATAAAGGTTCCTTGGAACTTTTACCTTGGTATCACTTTAACGCAGCAATGAGTGACGGCAGTTACCATGTATATAATGCTGTTTATGCTGTGGCCCACACCCTTCACAAGATGCTTATACATCAAGTAGACATACAAGGAATGAAAAATAGAGGAAAAATAATCTTTCCTCCTTGGAAGGTAAGGGCTTTTCCTATGGATTCTGTACTGGTGTCACCCAGGTAACTTTTAAAAATGCTGTCAAACATGCTCTTAACATCTACCATGGAATTCTTATCAAAAGATATATTTGTAGACTCTTATAGTGCTGAAAAGAAAAATCTAGACCTGGTAAAAAATCATAATTAAGATGGAAACATCACAGAATAAAATATAAAAACATAGGGAAAGGTTTAAGTGAAAGTGACCAGCAGAATCCAACTGTTCTAAGGCCGTCAACTGGAATTTCTAATCAATTTCCAGGAAGTTCTTAAATATGAAAAAAGCATGAACTGACAATGCAAGGCACTAAATAGTGTATTGTGCCATGAAACAAAGTAATCCTAAAACATTGAAGAAAACTATGTCTAATATATACTCTGGTTTTGTTTTATATACACGTTGTATAATAAAATGTGTGCACAAAATATACTTCAATTAGAAAGGGATCATTTTACTCATAATACCAATTTAAAGATTCTCATCAGGAAGAACTCAAAGTCACAGAGATTTGAAGCAGCCCACCACGTTAACATCCACCAAGAGCAGGGAGCAATGAATATGCTATTGCTCAGATGGCTCACTCCAATATATTTGGTCCTGGTCCTGGTCATGCTCAGGAAATGAACCTGCTTAAAATCAGGGTTGATTTTATGCCTTAATTATATCAATTTAGAAAGTCTCTCATAGATTTGCTCAGAGTCCAAATTATGCTATACAAGTTTTCATCTGAGTCCTTGTGCCTAGATGATTGTAGAAATTGCCAGAATCATGATTAAAACTAAACATCACAAATTTTGCTGATCAGTACTAAAAACTAGTAGATTGAGTAACAATTTAAGATTTATCTGAAAAGTCTATTCACATATTATTAGGTTGATTATGATTTTATTTCGTTCTTAGTATTGTGTTTGTTTTATACATGTAACATTGCTTTATTTTGAAGTAGAAATTAATGTAACTAACAAAATGGCATGATTTCATTTTTGTCTTAACAATGACCATGCCTATCACAAATCATGAATCTTTCTTAGTTAAACCAGATACTAAAGACCATTCAATTCATGAATCCAAGTGGAGACCCAGTAACATTGAATCCTTCAGAAAATTTTTATGTAGAATATGACATTCTGAACTTCTGGAATTTTCCACAAGGTCTTGGATATAAAGTAAAAGTAGGAATGTTTTCTCCATATTTACCACGTGGTCAACAATTGTCATTGTCTGAGGAAAGTATAGAGTGGAGTACAGGACTGGGACAGGTGAGTGGACACTCAATTTTGCTTAGCTTCATGCTTCTCCAGAATTAAAAGATTCCTTCACTGCTGCATTTACAAATCGTTTCCCACATTCAAATATTTTCTTTTTATCATTACCAATATTTAACACATAATTCAATGTATATTCACAATTCTAAATGTTATATGTGTTTTCATGTATACTAGTATGTGTAATATATATATTATATAATATATATATCTATCTCCTATTACAATGTTTAACTATCTCATCAATTAACTGAGTGTAAGTTTCATTAAAAATCTAATACCATAATGAAATTCAGTTACCAGATGAATCTTGTAAATCCTCCTGTCTCTTATTTTGTCAGACTCCCATGTCTGTATGCAGTGAAAGTTGTGGACCTGGATTCAGAAAATCTCTTCAGGATGGCAAGGCTCTATGTTGTTTTGATTGCAGTCTCTGCCCAGAAAATGAAATCTCCAATGGAACAGGCAAGTGTGTACATTTCACATGAGGTTCAGACTTCTGTTTTTTAATCTATATATTGTAGCAAAAACCATATACAGTATTATTGTATTAATTTCCAACTCCAGAAAGTACATATAAAAACACACAATCCAGTTACTATATTTATGAGCTATATGCCTAGATTGCGGAGATGCAGAACTATTATAATTTATTACTCTGCTATGGGATCCTTTGCTGCTTGACATATCTACTGGCCATATGGTTCTTGTCCATCTTCACTTCGTCCACCTCCACCTGCTTTCCGTCCTTTACTTCTCTGTCTACCTGCCCTTACTTTCAAAGACCTCCCATCTCACCTTTCTCCTTTACTGCCACATAAAAGACTCTTGCATTTATTGAGTAGTAAATAGGGAGAAGGTTCATATGAGTTTACCTGAGTATGTGATCCACTGTTCATCTGGGGACACAGCTCTTGAGGAAGCAGAACTAAAATGAGATTTCAAACAGCATCAGGACAACCCATAATATTTTACCCTTATTTCCAGTTAAAAATACTTCTTCTCTCAGAATGAATTGAGCACAATTGTAACAATTATAAAAAAATAAGGTATGATATCTATTTAACATCCAGTTCCTCAGACCTGTCAATTTATGTAGAGTACTCTACCATCTACCCTAACTTATAGAGTTTACATTTTTGTGTCTGAATTATGTTATTTTAACTTTTATTACAATTTGAAACCCATGCTTTCAAATCCAGAATTTCTTCTTTCATGCTAAACAACTGAAGTTCAATTATAAGACTATAGCTAATGTTCAACCACACCAGACCCCTGAGAAGGAATAAATTACTACCTAAATATTTAGGAAGCAAAGAAAAATAGCTTTCAAATGTATGCAATTTGTAGAGACAGCTGACTGCCTGGACAGTCTGCTGATTTCTTATAAAGCCAAACCACCTGTTTTCAGTCTACTTGTCCAGATCCATCTGACAGACCTTAAGAGAAGCAGGAATAATGAAGAACTAGCTTACCATGTCTTGGCAGAGCTATCCCACATATGTTTTTCCTTTTTTTGGACAACATTTTTGTCTGCATCAGAATTAGGGCAATTCTTGCTGAGTAGCTACATTGCCATGGTTGAATCAACTCCACCTGGAGGTAAAGATACTCAATATCTTCCATGAAGTGGAATAGGGATACTGTCAGGAGCACACATGTCACATTGTTAATTGCTCCTTGAATTGAAATGCTATTAAAGACATATTCTGTCAATCTTTTATATAGAGATAGAGAGAGATAGAGCAAGATAGAGATATTCTGAATTGTCAAACACAAGTTATTGTTAGTTATTAGCTAATTGAATAATATTGAACACATTTGCTGTAATTTACTAAATTAGAATCAAATATTATCATTAGTGAGTCTTACACTCTATTATTTTACATTGTTCAAGTATCTTAAACAGCATAAAATAACAACCATTAAAAGGGCTGGGTCTAAGTCTTTGTGTTCTTGAATGATTTACATAGGCACTATACTTATATAAGTATTACAACACTGATTTTAAATTTTGTATCAATACACAAAATATATGAATGAGTAACTTAAACCTATAATAACCTATATATTCTAAGCCAGTGTAAGAAACTATAAGTTTCTATTACAAGTGGTTTTACCTGTTGAGTCATCTTTTCATACTTATACTTAATTTCTTACTGGGGACTTTGCATACCATGTATCTTAAAAACTTAAATGACAATAAATAAAACCCCCTTTGATATTTCCAAGTAAAAAAAAATTATAACTTCAATTTTGCAATAATTATAAAGATTCAATCAATATAATATTATGGCGTAACAAAAACTTGTTTAAAAGTAAGTTTAATGTCTTATATACATTTGTCTACCTTTTTTCTTTTCTATAGTATTTCTATAACCCTCATTTGCTTTTCCAAATCTATATCCATCTAGAAAGAAAAAAAGAGAAGAAAAAAGAAAAGGTAAAAGTCTCTGAGTCTAAGCTTATCCGTGTCCTCCCTGTCTAAGACTGCTACATATACAAATAATCCCTTAAATGATAACATATCTATAATTTTAAAAATAACCAGAACCATCCATTTGAACCTAAGGAACTGGGATGATGATCTTCTTTTGCTTGCTTCTAGTGGTATTGGAGCCAAGGATTTCCTTATCAAGACCCAGAGGGATATAGGAAGATAGACTTTATTAAAGAAAAGCTAGATGGCATCATTTGATGTTTACTCTTTATGTGCTGAGAAAGTTCATGGCTTAGCTGAAATCCTGACTGTAACAGTCTGAAAGGCTGGTGATGTGAGCTAGATATTCTACAAATGTCCTGGAATCAAGTCTTTAGAAGTAACAGCTTCCATGTAGTTTAGGTATAATCAATGAAGGAGCTTGAATGGCATGTCCCAGAATCTCAGCATCCCAGAGTATGAGTTTTGTGAGGGCGGTCTTTTTCTTCTACTATTCTGCAATATACAAAACTTATAGGCAACACATAGCTCTGTAAAGATATTTATATGGAACATGCAGGGTACATGGGTCAGTTAATGAAGATCAATAAAGAAAGACAGCTGGCTCACGTTGAAGATTACTTTGATCACATAATCAAACTTCAATATAAATTTCCATTCCTGCCATCTTAAAAGATGGTATGTAATAACATGTCATAAAAATTTTGTACCCCAAAAGGGTTATTGGCAGAATATAGACATTTAAGTCTCAGCCAGACTCATAGCTGTCTCTGTACAGAAATATGTATCACCTACCTTGCTGATCTTGTTGATCTACAAGAAATCAAGAAAGGTGGGGTATAAATCTGAAGATGTAAGTAAGGTGGCTGAAAATCCATAAAAATTGGTTCAAAACTCTGATTTATGTACTATACTTTTGGTTTTATCTAACTTTCAAGAGCTTCTTAACATAGTACCTGACTCTCAATGTATGGAAGTGATTGTTTTACAAATAGAGACCACTGAACTTATTTGGGATAATTGTGAATTGAATTCGCTATTTATTCATATACAACAAATTATCAGAATAGGAATCATCCATTATATATAACACAGATAAGATTCCATGCAATTCTGCCAGGCCTTTTATCAAAATGTAATAATAAAAACGATGGATACATATAGGGAAAGTACTAGAAGCTTCAGAATTCCATTAAAAAACAAAACACGTTAACAGCAAAGGTTTAAAGAAAGAATACTCTTAACACTTATCAACAAGCCAAGAAAATTATGAGGCAATGTCCCACTTGCTCACTGTATAACCAAAAACCATTAATTAAACCAAGTATGCTAAAGGTACCCAAAGAAATGAAATTTGGCAAAAGGTTGTGTTTCATTTACAGAGTTTTGTAAAATGATATATGTGCATCATAATATAGACACATATTAAGAATTTCATTGGGCAACTGCCTTTGCTTCAGGAAAGATTGATTCTATAATTATGCAGTTGTTATAAGTTGTGGCTATTATGTGAATACCCATACAAATTAAAACGGAAAATGGTTCAGTATATGGCTTTAATAAGATTAAGCAGAGTTTTTACATATTGTAATATAAAACATGTTACAGGCATATCATATAATTCTACAAAACAAGCAATTATGTATAGATAAAATCATACTCTAAAACAGATGCTTAAGAAACAAAAGGTGGCAACAATGAACCCCAGAGTTGGATTACATAGTGCTTTATTAAACTTACATTTTTAAATTCTAATGAACAAAAACTTTGGCTTCTGAAAGACATTGGATTGTGAAAAAAACTGCTGAACTAAAGCAGCCTATTTATTTTAAGGGTGTTCTAACACCACAATGGAAAACAAGAAATGAGTTATACTGGGGGACAGGTTATGCCTATATTTCCACAGGAATAAAAAGCTATGCGTTCTTTTCAAGTTGATAAAAATAACACATGACAAAGGGAGAGTTCCTGAAGACCTTGACTTCAAACATGGAGGAGATTGACAAGATCGAGAATATAGGTGATGTATACGTGATGGTGTACATGTCGCCGTACAGAGAGACAGCTCTGTGACTGACTGAAACTTACAAGTCTACATATGACCATACAAGACAACTGTGCAGACTATATTCTTCTTTGTCAAATATTTTATTTATTTGTACTTCAAATGTTTCCCCTCTTGGAGACTTCTTCACATTACCCACCCTCTCCTATGCCTCTGAAAGTGGGATCCCCAAAGATTTCATGGTGCTAGTTAATATTAATCATAAGCAATATAACTCTGAAGTATAACCCACATTTAGTTGGTTTGTATGATTATAAGTTATATTTTATTCATCTTATGCAATTTCATAGTTTAACATTTGGAATCTATAAATAGGTACATATGTGAAACATTCTTGATGCTGTATTATCAACACATTAAAAGCCTTAATCTCTTATAGTGTCATCATCCCAGAGCCTACTAGTGTTCCCAAAATAGATAAAATACTAATAGACAGTGTGTTTTCTTAAGAAATTCAGGGAATGGAAAAATGGTTTAGTAACTAAGAGCATTGGAGATATTTTTGAAGATAGGGATTTGGTCTCCAGCATCCACAAAATGACATTTAACTGTGCCTCAATTCCCAGGATTTCTGCCACCATATTGTGGCCATGTGAGAAACACATACATATAGTGCACATTTTTAAAGCAAACCCATAAAAAATAAGCAATTCATGTATTACAACATATCATATGGATTTCTTCCAATTAAAGAAATTGTGTTTCTTGGTGTCTGTAGTTTACAGATATAGAGGGAAGAAAACCTGTCTTAAAGATGAGAAATAGTGCAGATTCCATGAATCCTCACAGAGAATACCCAAGACTCAAATGTTCTGTAAAATAAGTGAGTGCTTTATTCTGCAGACATTCAACCTGCAGAGATTTGAACATTTACCAAGATGGGAACCACAGACAAAGGCACACTAGCCCTTTAATACAAAACAAGGAATTTTAGCAAAGGTTAGGCAGTCAAGAACTTTATTGGTGAGTGCCAGGTAAGTTACATGTAGTAATTTCTGATTGTCAGCTATGTTATATTCACTATCTGTGGTGAGATCTTGAGAATGTTCCAAGAACAGGCTCAGATCCAGCCTCATTAATTAATTCAATACCTCAGGAACTGTCTTATTTCTCAGATTATCCACCATTTTCAAAGATACCAATGATTAACACCCTATTGCAGCAACTCTGTCTGCGGAGCAGAATATTCTTCCTTTAGAAATGAAAACTTTTCCATTTTGAAGATTTTTACTTCTTATCTGACATCTAAATTGTTTCAACAAAATTCTGTCAGATTAAGTAACTGACGCTACAGATATTTTGAAAGAAAATAGATATTTAAATGGTGTTGTTGCAGAACAAAAAACACGTAAATTGGTTGTTAATACTGTTGGAAATTGCCAAGTATTGAAAATTTTAACATCATGTAATATCTAGTACATAATTAATTATACCCACATAATCTCTTCCACCAACCAATAATAGGTTAATATACCTTCTTAATATAGGAGCAATAATTCTCAATGAAATCCTACAAGATTAATTCAGTAGCAGATTTTTTTTAAAAAAAAAATAAATCATAAACAACCATAATAATGACTATCTTCTTGAGATGTGGGGTGCTGCAACATACATAAATTGTTATTTGTAGTATACCACATTAATAGTTTCAAGAACTGAAACTGTATTTTAAAATAATTAAATACAAGCAAAGTTTTGAAAAATTTAGAATTTCTTTGTGATAAAATTTTGGAAGAATTTAAGCTTATAGCTGACATATCTCAAGAAAATTGAGGCAACATACAAGATCAGATCTGACATCACACTCAAAGAATGGAGACTCAAATTATTTGCACTAACTAAGGAATAAGACAATGATTCTACTCTATGCAGTGAAGTAGATGAAGGGGGATAAAGATGGAAAAGAGGAAGATGAATTACTTTTACTTAGGAGTGAGAATATTCTGTCCATGAAAGACCCAAAAAACCCACAATAATCCTCTTGTAGCTGATAAATACATTCAGTAAGGTAGCAATACAAAACAAATTAATTA